TGGCACTGCGAAAACTTTTTAGCAGCTGTTTTATAAACGTTTTATATTAGATAATTGCCTTTCCACACTCACGTATATACCACCCGCACAGACACATGCAACACACTGGTCTAGGCATGGTTTTAATTATGCGACGCTTGGAGGGCTGACCGAGTGGCTTCCCACTTTTTCACAAGTACTATTAACGAACGCACAACGTCCACCGGTTGTCGGCGAGAACAGCAACGTGCCTTTCTCATAATATGTGACATAATCATAACGTATATACAAGACAGAATCAAACATTAAAAAACAGTACTACTTTTACTGAAGAATTAAAACTTAACAAATACTTACTAAAAAGGAAAGGTCGATGTGCTTCCTTTTTCTTTTTTCTGTCCTAAACAAGCATCTAAGGGCCTAGACCCAAAATAATCGTTGGGAATGAATGAACTACTATTTTTTCCAGTGGAAAGAAACTAGTATTTTCATTTTTCGAAGCAGTTCTGGCATTACGTGGAAGTTGCAACTATCGATAAATCAAGCAACAGGAATGAAGCTGCAGTAACGTTTAGCAAACAGCGTTTTGTTCCATTTTGCATGAATAAGGGAACTGCTGCATTACATTTTTCTGCTTTTGCTTTGGTGACGGACAGCCTCAACACATCTCGTTTAATTTCAGTTAAACAGAGAGGCACAACAACGCATTTTGTCTGTTATAGCGTGGGCTAGAATAAGCTACATCGAGCTTTGCGCGGATTTGACTAAGCCAGTTGACGATGTATACTCATTACTGAAAACAGGATACCAAAAAAAAAAAACAGATAGTACTATGAAATAAAAGAGTCGGAAGCGAGGGAATACTGCATTCGCTGTGGCGGCAGCTGAAAATCGAGCCAGTCGGAGGCGTGATTCGGCAATAAGCCCATACCATGCAGTTTGTAGAGTGCCATTGCTATCGCAATCATATTGCCAAGAACGAATACAAATTTATGTGGCAAAAGCGAACCTGTATGTTCATCCTAAAAATAACTCAAAATTTACATTCATTTTCGTATGCCAAAATAGCAAATTACTTGCACATAACACAAAAATAACCGGCATATTTGATAATAAAAAACTTCCTTGGTTTCCTGCTTAATAAACTGCCTAGCCGATGATGCGCCTCATCGCGGTGTAGTAGTGGCAACATTTGAAGCAAAAAAGTCGAGGTGAGTAACACGCACCAGTGAAATCTCGACCGGCTAAAGTCGCGCCAATTGCGCCCGTCAAGAGAACCGTTCAATTGCTAATCTCATCAGGAGGTGAAACGGACACCAGGAACGCCAGCAGCAGACTTAGCACTGATAAAAAAAACCTGGGAAATTGTAAGCTCCATAGCCAGAGAAACACACCAGGAACTGCATCTGATCAGG